AAAGGAAATTGCACCTTTAGGTCCACCCGATGAGAATTTTGGTGAGAACTCTTTTTGAAATTCAACCTAAGTGTGGTTTGTTGGTCGTTTGTCTCTTTTTTTTTTTTTTTTTTGTGGTTTTTCGTTTTCATGAAACACTATCCTCGACATTTTGTTTTGATTGTTCTGTTTTTGCCTAGTTGGATTTAACTCATAAACCTGAACATATTCAGCCTCTAAATGAATTTAAGAGAAATTTTTGGGTTTAAAAGAATTTCTCAGGGAAGTAATAACAAGATTCTCCAGCCTGTTATTATTATTGTTATTGTTATCACTGCTCTAACTGTGAGGTCATCTGTCGTAGATTACAAATCATGGGACGCCACGAAGATGGAGAAAGACACTACAAAGGTGAAAGGATCAGAAGGACGCCATAGTGAACTAACTATTAAATCAATGGACACAGAAAAAATGGATATGGTACAGAGGTATTTGGAGAATGTGCCAGAGAAGTGCAGTGTGATTACCGATGCAAGTGACAGCGGTTTGGGAACACGCACTGCTGTGTCTGAAGAGGAAACAGAAGACGGGAGAGGTAAAACTGATTTATTCTTCGTTTCTGTTGTTATTTTTAATGAAACAATGTCGGTAAATGGGTAAAGTAAATGGGCATTGAATCGCAATGCATTAGAAAATTTCGCGCTCTGATTTGGTTTTAAAGAAGAGGAGAATAGTTTGTTTATTTGTTGCCATGAAGCGACACTCTTGGTCTTTGCCGGTAGAGAAGTCCAACCGTATTGAAATGTTTCTTATCGTTCTTTTTTCTTTCAACCGTATTCAGATCCCAAAAGACTTTGCCTTAGAGATCTGAGGAAAGAATCAATTAACGAACTGGATAGGAGACTTGGTGTTGATAGAGTTGGGTCAGAAAGGGTTTTTCAGTTTTTCGGTCTTAAATCGGGCTCCAAGTCTTACAGGTATCGTTGTGTTTCTCGGATTGCACAAAGCTTTCCTGACACTCCTGTTGACCTAATAAGGCAATGTTTCGAGGCTCTGCAAATGTACGATCTTGTTGATCTTCTGGAAAAGGCGGTGAAACCAATTTCACTTCATCCTGTCCTTTCCCCAGAAGAACTACAGACTTTACGGACTGATAATCTTCCCACAAAGTGTCACAACAATGTGGTGGTATTGGTAGTGAATGACAGTACGGACAACGTCCTCAACCAAAAGATTGAGGCATTCTTTAAAGAATTGAATTCGCAGAACGTTGTCACAGTGATTGAATCTTCTTCCTCAAAAGAAAACCGCAAGGCACTGAGTGATTTGAAAATGAAGCGCATGCAGAAGGAAAGACTTGTTTTAGAGGCAAAGGAGTTGATATCGCCTTCTAATTATATCAGAAGAAAACAAATGCAGTGGAAAGAACCTTTTCACAGCAGTCGTACTGGGAATTTTTTTCGTAAAATCGAGAATGACGTCGAAGAACTTAGCAAGCAGATTGAAATGGACAAACCGCTTATGGAGAAACTACTGAGAGAGACTGAGAAGGCCAAGACGATCACAACATCTGCTATGGACAACTGGATTCAGAATCAAGGTTGGTTTTAAAATACTGTTTAAGCAGGAAAAGGTATCAGCTGTTAAAAATTGTTCATTATAACAAGGTTTGAAACACAAAAGAAAATACGGCGAGGCTCACACATCCGGGAGTAATTTGAAAATTTCTGGTTAACAACAGCTAAGTAATTGACTCACTGAATAATCATAATGACGTGAAATGACATTTCGTTTCTATTTTGCTAAATTAAAACAGGTCACACACCTGAACCAAAAGAACTGCGTATATTGAATTTTAATAGGCATTGATTTAATTCTACAGCGTGATAAGTGTATCTTTATTTCTCACTGGCTCAGTTAACAGTCCTTGTCCAGGACAATGAATGAAAGGTAATGCAGTGAAAAATTAATAAGTGACACAAATTCGTAGTCAAGCTTTTCGGCTTCATGTTGTCAGCAATTGCTTGCTTTTCTTAGTCTATGTTCTTTTTATTTACATTTTGTTTTTTTTTCGTTCTACAGAGAAATTCACCGCGATTGTTTTAGTGTTCGTCATCGATGAAAGGAAATCAATTTACAATTATGATGATCTAGCAGAATGCGTGGCGTCCAAGTTAACATCGCTTCCGCATCACACGAAAGTGGTGGTTGGTGCTCCTAGGAGCATAATCATTGATAAGGTTCCTGAGATTCTTTCTGTTGGTTCTCCAGGCATGCCACTTAAATCTTCGATCTATAATTCGATGATCGAGATTTTCTTCAAACGATACCATCAATTGGATCTCATTTCAATGATGAGAGAATTAAAAAGAACTTGTCCAGAACTAAATCCAGAGCGACGTATGGATGTTATTCGAAGCAATCTTTCTACTCTTCCAAGTTTTGAGAAAAGAAAAGCACAGGAGCTCGAGCAAAGCTAATCATATGTGAATTAAACGGAACACTATTTGAATAAGAAATAATCATCTACAACTAAGAAGGTACAATAAGGGACCGGTCATCCGGTCATTAGGTATCGCCTAGGGTGGGGGATAGACGATTTTGGTTGTGTCACGATGATCCTGATCCCCCGAAGGCTTTGTAATGTTATTATGATCCCCTTTTCATTGGCAGTCAATAAGCAGTCAGTTTTGCATGGTCCCCTTTACACTCTGTTGGTAACGACTGATCCCCCTCCGTTACCCTCCTGGAAACCTAAAATCCCCCAAAAACCTTACACCCCCTTCCCAGGGGATGGTTCCGGTCTCCAACTGACTGTTAAGCTCCTTCCTAAAGTTGTATTTTCCTTGTTTTCAAGTACCGAGGAAACTGTGACTTTAGATTAATCTTATCTTTGAAATATTTATTTTTTCTTGAATTAGGGAGGAAATGCTATTTACATTCAGAGATGTTCATCATGCTATTGCGAAAAAATTTATTTGCAAAAGCACGACAAATAAAACCTGGGTAGAGAATATACCTGAATCTTCATTCTAGGGAATATTCTCGAAATTTTTTTTTCATAATTATCGCCTAGTTGATATGAATTAATGTTGACTCTTTCCTAGAGCTGAGTAGTAGAGCGGCGGAGGTATCAAAACGCAAAAACTCGAAGAACTCAAGCATGAGCGTACGCAAGCTAGTTTTCTCTGTACTGGCATTTACGTCTTTCTTCCGCTTCGGCGCTTTATTCGCTGTGTTGCCTCTCTAAGCAAAGAAGAGAGAGAAAAACCTCTAGTGTCTTAAGAGGTTGTCTTTTATTAGAAAAACAATTGTCGATAGCTTTTTAGGGTAGGTACAGAATTCATTTAGCAGACATTTATCACACGATGTAACCGTGCATCCAAAGTTGATCATTACAAACAAACAATAGTTGAGATAAATATAAGATAGCAACAGATTATGATGCAAAATTCTGCTTTGGAGACTAGTTTAGATGTGTTAATTGGAACTTTGTAACAGCAAGGCAACAATGTTTTGTAGAAAATGACTTAGTGCTTCAGAGTTTTGTATTTATGTTTTGTATGAATTGACATTTGCGAAAAAGGCGTTAATTCCTTTAGATAGATTTCAAAGCGTATTTTCTTCTAGTCTTCTAATCACGAATATTGCGTTTGCGAGAGAGTAATCCACGAACTTCGAGTTGAATTTGAGAGTCCACAAAAGCTTTAAAAGCAAAATGAGGACAGTTTTAAACAAACTCAATTCAACTGAGATATCGTAATGATTTTCGTGAGATTTGAGCATTCCACCTTTCCTTCATTTCCCCTCCTTGTCACGCTGTCGTCATTTTTTCCCAGCGTGCTCTGTTATTGCATACATTCTTTCTTTCGCTACTTATTACCACTAAATAAATGGCGTGATTCAACAAGGGTATCCTTAACACTGCATCACTCTTTCTGCTACTTTAAAATTCACAGTTGTCGTGGACCACTTTCATAAATGACTGCCGAATTAATATTCTTTTGTTTAAATTTAAATGAGCCTTTCTGGCCTCGTTGTCCAGTACACAATTCAATAGAATACATTATCTCAAGCGAGGTCAGAAAGGCTAATTTAAATTTAAACAAAAAGAATATTAATCCGGCAGCCGTTTATGAAAGTGGTCAATTTCGTAAGGAAATTTTTTAGCGCTCTCAATCCACAAATATCTTTTGCGGCAGGCTTAACCTGGGTTTCAAAGTTCTAAATTATATCTCAGAGTAACGTAGAAAAGGAACATAATGCGAAATATATATGAATGAAATATATACATTGGACCTTCTAAATCCTATCGCGACATTGGGTTACAGGAGCATTACCAGAAACAATAGTAGACCTCTGAAGTAACTAAACCTCTTTCCTCAATGAATTTGCGCATGGGAGGCTGGGAACGAAAATAGGTTTATATGAATTGATATTGACTCTTCCCTAGAGCTGAGCGGTAGAGCTGCAGAGGTATCATGACGCGAAACTCGAATGAACCCGAGCATGCGCGCACGCAAGATAGTTTTTTCTCTATTGGTATTTACATATTGCGTCTCCGATGCTTTGTTCGCTGCGTTGCCTCTTCGAGCAAAGACAAAAGAGGAAAACCTCTAGTATCTATAGAGATTGCCTCTTATGGGTAAAATATTGATCAGTAGCTATTTAGGTCGTGAGGTAGATGGGTAGGTACTGAATTTATATAGCCGACATATATTACACGATGTTACCGTGCATCCAAAGTTGATCTACACAGACAAACAACAGTTCAGATAAATATAGCAATACTAGGTAGGAACAGATTTTGATTCAAAATTTAGCTTTGGAGATTAGTTTAGATGTGCGAACTGGAAGCAAAAATGATGACAACTCTTTGCAAGCTTAAATGACTTGAGTTGAAGTATCGTAATGATTTCCACGAGATTTCTGCATTCATCCTTCCTTCTCCTCCCCTCATAGTCTCGCTCTCTTTATTGTTTCCCATCGCTCTTTGTTATATAACGTATTTTTTGTCCTTTCGTTACTCTCTGCCACCACCATTGTTAGTGCCCCTCGGTTTCTAAAAATAAATTATTAAGTCGCTCTTTAGGAACATTTGAGTTKTRMTACTGTGCATGTAAGAGGACTAATCAATTTTATAAATATATTTGATATCAGCTTTGATAGATTTTAACCAATATAGGATATTTGACAGGAACTGTAGGTGGTTAGGACTAAGCCAACTCGGAAAAAAAAAAAGTACGAAGGAAAAGCGAGAAAATTCGGTACTTTTTCATGCGTTTTACAACACTTTGCAATTTGATCAGACTACGTATCACAGCCGACCGAGAGGGATGAAAATTTTTACAGAAGCCATGTAATTTAGGAAACAAGGCGGGACCACAACATCGGCTGAACCCATTTCCCTGTTCTGCGTAATCAGATCTAGAGAACTTACGTCGTCGTTATCTACATCGCTTTCAAAGTCATCGTCAACGTCGCTCTCATTTTCACTCTTTTGGTAATCTTTGTCTGATTCACTGTACCCTCCGGTATCTAATTTTTGCTTCTTTCTCGTCATTTTTCGTCATTTCATCATCTACGAGGTTCAAAGTATTAATGGTTATTACAGGCTTGTCAACAAACATTCCACTAGAGGAGGAAATCAATACTGTTTACTAAATAAATGGAATAATTCAGCAATAACATCCTTACCACTGCAGCATTCTTTCTGCTACTTTAAAATTTATGGCGGTTATAACATTTAAAGAAACATTTTTTAGCGCTTCGTAATCCCTAAATACCTTTTGTGCAGGCTTGATCTGAGTTTCAAAGTTCCAAACCTCTTTCTTTGATGAATTTGTCCATGGGAGGCTAGGAGCGAAAATGGGTTTATACAGTGCGCAAGTGCTGTTTTCTAAGAAATACTGACGTGCGTGACTAGTATTTGTGTACAAGTTTGGCCTTGTTTTGAACGGTTCTTGTGATACAAAGTAGCGTGGCCTGCTCATAGTGAAGAGTGTGACACACATGACATGTCTGCCATAGAATATAGTTATTTACTGATTGAAATAAGTGAAAAACTTGACGAACTTAGTCCAATCCATCGTCTTCTGTTCACGTGTCGAAAGTATCTGGCATCTGGAAGCGAAGAAAACATTCAGGATACCCTATCGTTATTTAAAGAATTGGAAGAACAGCAAAATCTGGGAATTGATAATCTGGTGGTTATCAAAGAGCTGTTAAAACGTGTCAGAGAATGGTCGCTTTTTGGAAAAGTGAAAAGATTTGAGAACAAACGGAAGGAATACAATACCTTGCTCGAGGAGATAATTGCTGTGCTCGACGAACTCAATGATCTGGAACGGCTCGTCTCGGTTTGCAGAAGAGAGTTATCTGAAGAAAGTGAAGGCCTTATTGAGGATGTTCGCTCGTTGTTTAAGGTACTCGAAAACCAGAATATTCTAGGTCTTGATCGTCTGGATATTTTGAAGGAGATCCTCACCGAAACGGAGAAAAA